CTCCCGGTTGGCCCCCTGACACAGGGTGCGGCGCGTCAGCCAGACACGGGGTCGATCTTGGTGCGCTGCCCGCAGCCCCAGAATGTACTGAGCAGTTCCCGCTGGCGTAGACCCTGCAGCGCCCTCCCCGCGCTTTTGTGTTTCACTCCCTGTCCCTAGAGTACTTGACCTACTGGATGTATTGCTCCTTACAGCCCTGTATCCGCGAGCCTCCCTTTTTGGCCCCTGGCTTACTGGGGTATTAATGAGCCGCTCTCCCTTGAATGGTCCCTTCTCAACCAGGAGCCCATGTCTCTTATGCCTGGCGTAGACCCTGCAGCGCCCTCCCCGCGCTTTTGTGTTTCACTCCCTGTCCCTAGAGTACTTGACCTACTGGATGTATTGCTCCTTACAGCCCTGTATCCGCGAGCCTCCCTTTTTGGCCCCTGGCTTACTGGGGTATTAATGAGCCGCTCTCCCTTGAATGGTCCCTTCTCAACCAGGAGCCCATGTCTCTTATGCAGGGCTGGATTAAGGCATGGGCTAGCTGGGTAGCTGCCCCGGACACCAACTAAGCTGTGCACCCCTTATAGCTGCCATCAGGCACCGCGCTCCCAGATCGTGGGCTGCAGCAGCTCCCCGGGGCGGGGCTGCGATAACCGGGCCGGGCACGTGCGTCCTGCCACTGCCAGCTCGGTGCACCCTCCCTCACACGCTGGAACTGGGGCGGGGCCACACATGTGCCCTCCCCCAACCCGGGGTACAATTAAACTGTCTGCCCAGGGTGCCGGAATGGCTCGGTCCAGCCCTGCCCTTGTGGTGTGGGGCTCTGGGCAGTTGCTTTGTTAACTGCTCCCTAATAGAATCATAGAGCTGGAAGGGACCTCAGGAGGTCAACGAGTCCAGCCCCCTGTCCAAGGCAGGACCAATCCCAACTAAATTAACTCAGCCTGGGCTTTGTCAAGCTGGGACTTAAAAACCTCTAGGGATGGAGATTCCACCACCTCCCTAGGTACATTCCAGTACTTCACCACTCTCCTGGTGAAATAGTTTTTCCTAATATCCAGCCTAGAACTTCCCCCACCCAAAACTTGAGATCATTGCTCCTTGTTCTGCTGTCTGTCACTACTGTGGACAGCCTTTCTCCATCCTCTTTGGAACCTCCCTTCAGAAAGTTGAAGGCTGCTATCAAATCCCCCCTCACTCTTCTGCAGACTAAACAAACCCAAATCCCTCTGTGTCTCCTCATAGGTCATGTGCTCCAGCCCCCTAATCATTTTGGTTGCCTTCCCCAGAGCAGGCCTTAGGATAAATGATGCCCTGGATGAACTTGTATTTTGGTGTCACTGGTCCTCCAAGGCATGGTGCCCCCACCTCCTGCTTTCCTTGGACCTAAAAGGCTCCACCGTTCCTGCACCCCCATCCTCTACCTGCTTTCCACTAACCCCTGCCCTCCTTTTCCACCCCAACTCTTATTCCGTGCTCCTAACCTATGCACTGTGCCACCTTCACCCCAAGTCCCTACTCTCAACCCCAGACTGAGGCTACCAGCATGTCCATCACACTGCCCCCTGCCCAGTACCCTGCACCCCCATATGCCCAGTGGCCCCTCAGAGATCTCTACCACAGATTTCTATGTCCAATGCCCTCTTACCCACAGATTCCCCCAATGCCCAGGGCCTCTCTCACAGCCCCTCCCCCCAACTGCCTGGCACCCTGTGAGGGGGGTGCACTCACCACCGTAACCCCCCTGCCATCTGTCCTCAGGAATTGGCTCCCTCGGCAGGGAGGGGGGCTTCTCTGGGGGGGGCGGCATCCTCTTCGCCACACTGCCCTCCGGCAGTGCCCAAGTCTGTCTCTGAGCCCCCCTTCCGGGGCTGGATGTTCCTTCATCGGGCCTTCTTTCAAGCCCTGCAGTCTGAGGATTTGCGGGCCAGAGCTCCCCTAGCCCTGCCTGAGCTCCAGAGAGCCTCCTCCTCCCTCAGCAGCCAGGTTCTCACTGCTCCCCTTCACAGCAGCAGCCCATCCTCTATTATAGCGCCCAGCTGGGCCCTAATGGACTAGTACAGCCTCAGCTGGGCTAAACTCCCCGGCCCTGGTTCAGGCTGGGGTCTGCCCTTAAAGGGCCAGTGCAGGGCGAGCGCCCTGTCACACACCCCTTATTCCTGAAAGAATTCAGTACCAAAAAATTAAAAATTCTGCACACAATATTTTAAAATTCTGCAAATTGTATTTGTCAATAAATAAATATGGAGTCTTCAGCATGGCAGTGGCAATCATAGGCCACTGGCTGCACAGACTTGGGACATCAACCTTCTGGGATAGGGACTTGGCTCTGTGTGCATGGCAAAAGGCCAGAAGGAAACATTTTTCCCTGGTGGCCAACTTGTTAGCCTATTTGTCTATTTGGTCAGTTGAGTGTCACTAGTTGCCTTGAACAATGTGGCTATTTGGCTCATTGAGTGTGGCTAATTCACTGTAACAGTAGCCAGTACAGTGTCTACTGCTTCAGAACTGGTTGTACACCATGGATTTACATCATGGCTGGGATGTCAGCCATGATCCAAAATCCATTTGAATGCCAAAAAAAAAAAAAAAAGATACCAATGGTTGAGTCCAGCTCTCATCCAAGCCCTTGCCTGCCACAACTTTGAGTCATCACCTCCCAAATGGCTTTTCATTCTCCCGAAAATAAAGGATTTCCCTCTAATCCTGAAAAAGTGGCTCTTGGATGTGCAGTTTAATAAAAAAAAGAATTATAGTCATTCACCAATATTTTTTTTGCCCTGACTTACACATTTGGTTGTGACACATGGCTCATTGGATTGCAGTTGGTAAAACTCAGCATGTAGTTTCAATAATACTTCAACAATGGGGCTGGATCCATAAGCTAGTCAAGTCTCATTCGAACAGTGGCTCTTCTTTTGGATTATTTAAGGCAGTTTTTAAAAGTCTTTCTCATGGGTGAAAAAGAATGTTTTGCATTCTTGAAGGGACCTTTATAATTCCTCTCAACTCTGCACTGTTTAGAATCCTTCATTCAAAATGCTGCCAGCTTGAGAGACAGCTCTGGAGATACTTTGATTCACAAGAAAAAAAGTCCCTTTTCCCTAAGTAGAAGTTTTCAGCTACTTCAGTTTTGTTAAGTGCCAGACTGCCTTCCTTCCTAAGAGGTTGCCCCCTTCCCTGCATTCTGCAGCCCTAACTGGAATATTGTGAATGGGCAGGAAAAGCAAACAACCTTCTTTTATTTTCCTTTAACTTACTCTCCTCTATAGCCAGGTTGTGTATGCCTCTCCCTCCTCCCATCCTGTGTCTACTGCTGATCCCTCCTCGGGAAGGGAGGAGAGGAAAAAGTCTAAAGGGGATTCTTGGCATCTGGGCTTAAAGTTCAGAGAAGAGGGATGTGACACAAAAAGGAGACTAGGA